TATTAAAGGTTGCGGATATATTTTTGTCAACATCCATAAATCGTTGCCTATACGAATTTTAGGCAACAATTTTATCATGTTACCTAAAAAAGTGTTGCCAGAGACAACAAATGTTGTAGTGATATATATATATATATATATATATATATATATATATATATATATATATATATATATATATATATATATATATATATATATATATATATATATATATATATATATATATATATATATATATATATATATATATATATATATATATATATATATATATATATATATATATATATATATATATATATATATATATATATATATATATATATATATATATATATATAATATATATATATATATATATATATATATATATATATATATATATATATATATATATATATATATATATATATATATATATATATATATATATATATATATATATATATAATGACGTCATTTTCATATTCAACATCATCCTAATCATCAAGGAACATCAAAGGCCACAACATTATAAATTACACCAAACTGTCACATAAATGCAAATGCAACAAGACTCATGCGTGTGGTACCAATCAACATAATTTGATGGACACTGGGCCATCAATCATCCATAGATCCACAACAGTAGGATCGATTCTACACGAGGACCGGAGCACATCAAAATACCTCACACCTGCACAATAGGACTGAAGCCACAAGAATCAAGGTCCTGAACCGAAGTCCAGAATGCATATGAATGCATGATGCACACGTCAATATCATCCTCATAATAATCTCATTAGGTGCATCATCATTCATCAAAATCATCATAATAATCATGTCACCATAGAATCATCAAAACTCATGGAATCAACGTCACAAATCATCACAATTCCTCATGGAGGTTCATCATGCAATCATGTATTAATCTCATAAGAATCACAATTGTACTCATGATACGGTCACCTAATAATCACATAGGAATCACAACTATACTAATAGTAATTCATCATACATTCATTTAATCACATAAGAATCACATCTATACTCATAGTAATTCATCATACATTCATTTAATCACATAGGAATCACAACTATACTCATAGTAATTCATCATACATTCATTTAATCACATAGGAGTCATGGCTATACTCATAGCAATTCATCAGAAATTAATTTAATCACATAGGAATCATCATACAATCATGTATTAATCTTAGAAGAGTCATAGTCATACTCATGGTAATTCATCAAAGAAATCACAACATCAAAACATGAAGACATCACTGCACAAGATCAAAATTCGCGAAACTTTACTACGTTCGCTAGCAAGTTCGCAGTGTGAGTCTGGGGCGAACGTTCGCCGTGCGAACTCGTGATTACAGCAAATCGCTGTTATGCACCAGTACCAAAACCAGCCCAAAAGCCTCTACGATTTCCTTCCCCAATGCCCCAAAAACATCCCTAAATCATTCCTAAGGTATTACGGTGATAAAGGCACAAAATTTACGACTTATTAGGCCAATCCCGTATCATATTTACGCCTCAAATTCCCATAAATCTTTACAAATACCCCAAAGTCATTAGAGTGCTCATAATCAATTACCTTATACGGTTAAAACCTCAACAACAGATTTTGGGCACGAAGGCCTAATTTCCCTTACTCTCAAATCAGCCTCGAACCTATCAGACAATCAGTTCAAATCCCTCAAACTCATTGAACTCACCACCAGAAAGACAACAACAATTCGTTACCCAAAACCCCTTAAACCCTTAATCAAATTTAAACACATTAAATCATATATTGAAAATAATGAAGGTAATACTCCTCATACCTTAACTGCCGACTCTAAGCCTTTCTCATTTGATTCTTGGAAACCTCGCGAAACCTTACCTCAATCCTCTTCCTTAGAGCTCTGGCCTCTATTTCTTCCCTTCTCACGGTCTAACAAGAATGAATCCTAATTCCCTCAAAATTCCTTTTTGCTAAACCTAACTTTGCGCCTTAAAATGGGCTTTCCAATTTCACCCTCACTAACTCCTCCTCAAATGTCCATTTTGCCCTTAATTCACTTATATTTATTTAAATTAATAATAATACCAATATATTCATATTATATACTATTATTTAAATAAATAACTCAAAACTCTATAATTCTCAATATTCACACCAACCACCGAAAATCACCAAAAATACGGATATTCATATTTAAATAAATTAAATAAATATTCCACTAAATTTGGGGTGTTACAACTATCATCGGGAAGCTATTGTTATACACATTGAATATGTTTATGACTTTGTAAATGGCAGATAATTTTTTGGAAGAATCTTGGTGAGCATATAACCATGTCACAATGACATAGGAGCAAGACATACTGAATTCTTGAAACTTTCCGCAATCGTACCTACTTGTATTTAGTTCGACCCGATATTGTCCCCTTGGCCTCCTCTTATTATAGTTCATTGTATCTTGTATAATAAAAGTGTGTCTATGACGACCAAAGATAGGGGTGGAAAACGAACATGCCCACCCCGTTTAGGCCCTCCCTGCAAAAGCTCGCAAAACAATGGGGTGGCCGGTCATAGTTGAGAATGCAAACCTAAAACCTAGGCCCGCTCCGCAAAAAACTCATGGTGGGGCAAGGAAAGCCTGCAGACACGACACCTTTTAGCCTTAAAACGCAAAAGTTTATCTAAATGCTCGTGCCCACAAAAGCTCGCAAAGAAAACGGGGCGGGGTGGGACGTACACATTAGAGAGTGAGGGCCTAATTTCTTGGCTTTCCCCGTAATAAAGTGCACGCAAAATAGGCATGCCCAACGGGCCGAGCCCGTTTTTCCACCCCTAGTCAAATATTGTAACCCCATATGTGTTAGCTTTGACAGTTTCTTTCTTAATAAATTCATACATCTTTCACTGGATAATTGTCCCAATTCTAACACTGAACTCCACTTTGAACCTCTAGACGCGAACAATGACCTTAACCTAAATTAGGTTGCTCTCACCAACGCGATTATGGGTAGCTTTTTGATGCCTTTGAAGAAAGAGTTCATTGATTCCACAAGATTTGCTGTCATGTGGCCCTATCATTGACCATTATCAAATGCCTGGTCCACTTCTCCACTGGAATATTATCGATCCACCTTAACGCATCCGCATCTGACAATCTAATCTCTCTACAGTATTGTTGGAACGATGGTTGAATTCACAACTTTTTCTGAAACGTGTCGTCTCTGATCTTCCACATGATGTTTTGTGGAATATGTCTAATGCATTAGACACACGTAGAAGCAAGTTCTTGCCAAACATTATCAGGGATATTGTGTGCACTCTCAATAGATACGCATGTCTATCTGAAATCACACAGAGGTTAGGTTGAGGAGCAACATGTATTCAGAGATTCTTGAGAAAGAAACTCCAGCCACCACTAGTCTCACCTTCAACTAGAGCGAAGGCAATTGGAAAGATATTACTCTTTCCATCTTGTGCCACTGCCATGAGTAACGTTCCTTTATATTTCACATACAACTATGTTCCATCAATTTGAATAATAGTTTGCAGGACGCAAAACCTTTGATGCATGGTTGATATGCCATGAAGAGTCGATAGAATATTCTATTTCCACTAACACAAGTTCTATTTGTCGTAAATTTCCCAACCTTATCGTACAACACATGCATAGAAAACACCAAGACAACCATTGCTTCATTTTCAAAACGAATCAATGTCCTAATTTAATTGACTAGCCCACCCACCTGTAACCCAACTAGCACGACCAAACTACGAAGACATTGGCACTTAACTCGATTACGGCAGCGCGTCCCATTATAGTTGCCAAGAAATTCTAGATTTCATGGATAACAATAATATCTAAGGGACCTCGCACCAAACACCTTAGGTGAATTTTGGGAGGCAAAAAACACCTCAAAGAAATCGTGGGAGACCTCAACGACAAAAGGCAGCACCGAGGTGTAGAATCGGTGGCCGTTATGATCAAGCGGATCGTTAAAATATCTTTACAAAATTTTCTTGCATGTAATTCTAATTTAATTAAATAATATTAGTATTTAATATTTTTGTTTCACAATTTTTTTTTATTATTTAGTTGTTAATTTAATTAAAAAAAGTCAATACACATGGCCTTACTGCCGTCTTCTCTTTGTGCAATAACACATGCACCAAATTCATTAGCGCATTGGTGATGTAGTCGCCGGTGTGTATGGTGCCTATATTGTATTTTTAGTGTATGCGTCATTATCAATGATTTCCCTTCTTTATTGTAAAATTTTTTATTTATTTAAAATACTGAGTTGAAAATTTTAGTTATTCTTTGAAAAAAAAATCACACTTTAAATGACCATATCCTATACAAAATGAAAGTAACAAACACTTTGAAGACAAGAAAGTGGCTTAAATCACCAATAAGAAAACAAGATTTTCATTTCTAAAGCCATTTCACTCCAAATGTGTAAAGGGTCGGCAATCGCATGCATGGGCACATAATATCATCAAAATCAGTTTTCTTACGCATGTCTCGCGCTGAACCATACTTCACACAGAGACAACTCAAACGTCTTTATCTTATATCAGAGAACCCATTTTCTTGCGTAATATTTTGGTTACAAAAAACACTTTATTTAACTAAATAACTTTTCTTAAAGAATTTAATTTTGTCTTAATTTTATGAATAAGCTAGATTTAAGAAAACAATTTTTAAATTAAAGTAATAAAACAAGGAGCAAAACATAACGTGCCACTATATTTAGTTACTAATTATGACAAAACATGAAAAATGCCATGGACATGAAACCATACCTTGAATTAGAATCGAAGCTGAGGTAATGGCTCTTTCCAAAAGTACAAGTAAAACAACTTCACAATTCACACAAACACTCTTTCACCAATTTTGCGTAGAAGCAACCAACTCTTATTCCATCATCAGCTTCTATAAAATCACACAAACATCACAAACAAAAACTCACAAAATTAAACAAAGCTAAAAGAGAGAAAAATGAGTGAAATTAGAGCCTCAACCTCAAAAACAAGCACCAACAAAGGTGCTAGTACTATGACAGGGAAGACATTTTCTGGAGTAGGAAACCTCGTTAAGCTTCTTCCGACCGGCACTGTCTTCTTGTTCCAGTTTCTCAGTCCAGTTTTAACCAACACTGGACACTGCACCACCATCAACAAATACCTGAGCGGTATTCTCCTTGTTATTTGTGGTTTCAACTGTGCTTTTACTTCCTTCACCGACAGTTACACCGGAAGCGATGGCCAGACACACTACGGTGTTGTTACCGCAAAAGGTCTCTGGCCATCTCCGGCGTCGGAAGGTGTTGATTTGTCGGCGTATAAGCTTAGGTTTGGAGATTTCGTGCATGCTTTGCTTTCATTGATTGTGTTTGCTGTGTTGGGGCTACTGGATACTAATATTGTGCGGTGCTTCTACCCGGAGTTTGAGTTGGGTCAGAAGATGCTGATGCAGGTTTTTCCACCGATTATTGGTGTGGTTTCTGGTACGGTGTTCATGATATTTCCAAGTTATCGACATGGAATTGGATACCCTACTAGTTCTGATACTAATGGCAACTCTCAAAAGTCTACATAGCATTATTGGTTCATCTTTGGGTATATTATGATGCAGAGTCATGTATAAAATGGTTCAGTTTCATTCAATTGTTTGATATTTGTTTGGGTTGTGTTTGATTAATTTGTTGGTTCTAGGTTTGTATTGTTAAACATGAAGGTATTGATATGGGTTTAACTGTTTAAGAGTCGGTTACAACAATGGGTCAATGAGTTACAACAATGAGTCAAAGATTTACTTGTGAAATTAATTATTGGTAACTAAAAGAAAGTTGTGATTGTGAAACAATGAAGATTATAAATTTGGAATAGTAAGAATGTCTTATTACATGTTTTGAATTATAGGTGGGCAGCTTCATTCTTACTAACTAGATTTTCACATTAATTTTTGAGTTACATATACATACTCCATCTTATTTTTATTATAAAAAAAACTCACTTTTTAAATAAAATATATAATATACATAATTTAAATATATTTATTTTTCTTATAATAAAAACAAGAGAGTATTGAACAAGTCAAATGGTGAATTTTTTTTCAAATAACTTATTTTTTCAAAAAAATTACATGAAATTCAAAAAAATTCTCAAAATGGCACACTTTCAACATGCATGCGTCATATGAAATGACTCATGCATTGATAGCCTAACCAAGTCGCCATATGGTATGTCTGATCCTAACCAAGTTAGCATATGGTATCGCTGATACTAACCAAGTCGTCATTTGAAATGGCGCCACCTTGTATGGGTGCCCTAAAGATGCAGAAGAGGCGCCATACTATATGGCGCCTCAAGTGTCACATTTTTTTATATATTAATTAATATTGTGTTAAAAAAAATAATCAAAAGAAAAAATAAATTATAATATTTGTAATATAAAAAAAGCGAAAGTAGTGTACAATAGATGGAAAAAAAATTAATGATCGGCCTTATCAAAAGATCACCAGTTCTACATTGCGGAGGATTCATGTGGCGTCGAGGTCTACCACGAGCTTGTTGAGGTGTATGTGGCCTTTGTGTGTTGACCTGTGGAAGAAGTATTTGTTGAGATGGTCTCGGCGTATCATATAAATTTTGAAGCATTTGATGACCCCAATAGCCGGGGGGCTACTGCCAACGACGCTTCTGTAATTTAGTTTCATGCCCATGTTTTCGTAGTTGGGATGGGGAGGTTGGGTTGGGTGTGGACAATATGGTTGGCCGAATTGGTACATCGAATCGGTTTGGAAACGATGCAATAGTTGTTATGAGGTTTAGTAGTCAAAAAGTGGGTAGGTATTTTGATGGTAGGAAGATTGTGTGTTCATTCCTGGGGAACTATAGTTGGTTGGGGTGGGGTCGAAAGAGTTATTGGGGTTATAGTTGGATGGGGTAGGGTTGAAAGATTTATCAGGGCTATAGGCAGAAGTAGTGTCGGTTTCGGGAGGTTGGTGGTAGGGGTAAGGCTCGTGTTGTTGTGATTGGGTTGGTGGCATGTATGAGTTGTGGTTTTGGAAGATTGATTGGGTGGGCATAGTTTGATGTTGGGTATAACATGGTGTTTGATGTTGGGCATTGGGTTGTTGTTGTGTGTTTGAGGAAGAAACACGTTGTAGTGGGTCAATCAAATTTGTCGGCTCAGACACAAATTGTTGTGATGTTGTAACCGACCTAAACCAAATCATATATTGATAACTTGGTCTAGTCCCTTCCACAGTAGGGTCGATTAAGATGTGTCGATGTCAGTTCTTCTAATACAGATACATCTCTTTTGCAAAGTCCTTCCAATGATTTACACTCCATTGGGTATCCACTCTAAGTTGATGCCAGTCTCCCAAAGACGTTGGAGCAACTGGAATATCCTGATGCATGCCGAACTGCAGTTTCATCCGATCACTTTGGTGCATCTCCACTGTAGTGAACTGAATGATAGGTGTTTTAGTTGCCCACACGACAACATCATTGGCGTCGAGCTAATGGTAGAGAACCTCGTATGACATTCAGACAAACTACATTAACAATAGATTTAATGAGAAAAATAAGGATGTGGTTATTAAATAGACAAAGTAATGGTGCATCATTGGTAGATAAATTACACTGTTTGGCCCAATGTATTTTATTTGGTTGCGGTAGACGATTATTGAGTTCCTAGGACATCTTTGGTAATTCATTCCCGGAACAGACCACCTAAAAAAAAGAGACACAAATAAATTAGTTACTAAGAAACATTTCACAAATAAATTAGTTACAAAGAAACATCATTGGTATACACGTTTTGATTTTTAAAAATAAACTTACTTGTTAGCGAAGGGGAATGTTATTGGATTCCGGTTGATATGAGCCAGTGTTGGCATTCTAGACCAGCCCCACGCTTGAAGGAGATATGCGCAGCCATAAAAAGTACAAGAATTGTTTTTTGAATTTTTACATAATGAACTATATAGATGGGCGACGATAGCTGAACCCTAACTATATATGCACACTTTATTAATATTGTGCAACAATGGTAAATACATAATATTTACACTATTTCCAGTATTTTCTAGAAATAAAAAATGACCAAATAATATCATAATATAGCACCGAGTTTTAAGTATCTTCTCATACTCGGTGGATTTCTCGTTTAACACGATATTGTTGTAGTGTTCTCTTAGGTATTTCAAATTAATACCTTAGCCCCTCGGTCGACCTTCACGTTGTGGCTGAGGTGTTTCGACACATAGAGAGGCGCTCAGTAAATCTTCGCAAAGTTGGTCATTAACACCAACTTTGTCGTTGACGACCTTACCATTGATGCGTAGGCCAAGTAACATGTAGAAATCTTGTAAAGTGATAGTACATTCACCGAAAGGAAGGTGAAAAGTGTGGGTCTCTAGTCTCCAATGTTCTAGCAACGCTAGAATAAATTTGGGGTCCAGTGAGTACGATTTAATTTTTATTAAATCATCAAACCCACATGCTTCTAGGTATCCTTCTATGAATGGGTCGTGTGGTATGTAGTCATGCACACGACAACGAAACCTTGATACATTCTGCCAAAGAATATAAATAGCATTGGTTTTAAAGAAAAATTCAAATTATTAAGGAATGACAACAAAAAAAGCAAAATACTTACAAGCTCTGCGATGTTCTTAATTGTTCCTCTATGATCGTTTCCCATTGTGAGTAGAGACATTGTGAGTAAAGTTTGATGAGTGATGAGAAGAGTTTGCTAAAAGTTTGAGGAGTAGAGTTTGTAATATGATGAGAAGAGTTTGTACCTTGATGGACATGTATTTATAATGGTTAAATGTGATAAGAGGAGTCACATGAAAATGCATGTTGAAACATGATGACAATGGTGCAAGGAATCGTGCAAGTGTTGTCTTACAAGATTCTTGGTCATTGTTATGCAGAGAATCTTGCAGTCATTGATTGATAGAGTATGGTCTTGTCATGCATGTGAAGCCATTTCATGTGAAATATAATTTGTTGATAGAGTGTAGTGTTGTCATGCATGCAGAGAACAGTGTAGTCTTAAAAGTGTAATTTTGAAAGTGTAGTATTGCAAGGATAATAGTGTAAGCATGTGACAACTACCACTATTAGTGCATGTTGAAACATGATGACAATGATGCAAGGAAGCGTGTAAGTGTTGTCTTATAAGATTCTTGGTCATTGTTATGCAGAGAATCTTGTAGTTATTGATTGATAGAGTGTAGTATTGTCATGCATGTGAAATATAATTTGTTGGTAGAGTGTAGTGTTGTCATGCATGCAGAGAATAATGTAGTCTTAAAAGTGTAATTTTGAAAGTGTAGTCCTGCAACACTAATAGTGTAGGCATGTGACAACTACCACTATTAATGCTTATTGAAATATGATGAACTTTGTGCAAGAAAACGTGCAAGTGTTGTTTTACAAGATTCTTGGTCATGTAAAGTGTAATTTTGTCATGTAGAGAGTCACATGAGGCATGCAAGACAATGAATAATGTGCTTGTAAGACTCTTGTGTTGAATTTTAATTTAGTGCAATACACAAATACAAATGAACTTTAATTTATTTTATGTTGAGTTTTGTAAATAACTATTAAAGATATGATCACATATTTATCTATTCATTTCATAACTTTTTTACAACTAAAAATTGTTTTGTAATTTATTTTGTGTTGAGTTTTGTAAATAACGTTTTTTCAAAACAATATGAAATGTGTAAAACAATATCCTGTAAAACTAATAGTGTAGGTATGCAGAGTGTAGTCTTGTTGTGCAAAGAATCTTGTAGGCATGCAAGACTATATGTTAGTGTGCATGCATGTGATAATGAATAGTGTTGTAATACATGTGTTAGTCCATGTGATAATAATAAATGATAATAGGTAATAGGTCATAATAATAAATGATAATAGGTAATATGTCATAATAACTAAAATAATAAAATCAGAACAAGACATGTGATGAGATAAGACAATTGCATGGAAGACGAAGTACAATGATAATTAATAAAAAAACAATACTAGGACCCAACTATATGTCTATTAATACAATAGAGATATATGTTTTATTATCATATCATTTAGTAACATATCCTTCTAAACACTAAAATTTGTAAAACAATCCTTTCAAACACGAGTTTAGTAACATATTTGTTATGGCTCAAACACCACAATACACGATTAGTGCATATTTAAACAGTGAGATTTTTGAATGTAACATAACCAGTTTCAATTTTCGAAATATGGACATTACTAGATTTTTGATTGGCAGAAGAACAAATTTTTTACATTTGAAAGAGAGACTAGAAAAGAAATTATAGTATGGTCCAGTTGGCCAAGTCATCTACAAGAATCTTGTGTTTTTTTGGCGAGTACGAGCAATGCAAATTTTTCCAGTTAAATATTTGAGACGATGAAGATGTACGTAACATGTTTCTCAGTCATGAGTATTCTGGTTTCTCATATATTGAGCTATATATTACGTTATAATAACAACAACTGGCTCAACAACTTGATTCTTCTCAAGTTTTTTACGAATCTGATGACGAACAAGCTGAAGTCGATGCC